CTCCCCCCACACCAGGCTCAGCCATGGCACAGCTGAAGCCAGCACCTTGTGCCCCCTCTGTGCCACAGTTCACACCACCCCCTCCGCCACCCAAAATCCATCAGGTTCAACCAAATATAAGCCAGGCCGCTGTCACTGCCACCCCTTCGTTGCCACCTCCTCCTCCTCCTGTGCCTGCCCCACCACCACCCCAGGCACCCCCAAAGCCTGTCATGGCAACACTTCCTCTGCAGCATAGTGGGAAGGCAGTGTCACCAGGGGTCACACATGTCCCCCCCCTGGTGCCAGCTCCCATGCCCCTTGCAGTGAAGAAACAACCAAGTGTCACCTCTCCACAGGTGCCTCCACTGCCCCCAGCCCCTCCTGGCCCCATTTCCCCTGCAACATTCCCAAAGCAGCAGAGTTTCTCTGTGAAGCCTCCTCCATCCCCTCAGTCCCCAGTGCCATCAGTGGTGAAACAGATAGTGAGCCAGTTCCCACCTCCTCCTACCCCATCTGCCACTGACCCCCAGCCTCTGAAACCCCTTCCACTGAGTGTAGCTCCACAGTCACCTCCAGCAGTCAAGGCAAAGCCCAAATGGCAGCCCACTTCTGCTCCCTCACCAGATTTCCCCCCTCCTCCACCTGAGAGCAGCTTAGCATTTCCTCCTCCACCTCCTTCCCCAGCTTCCTCTGCAGGTTCTCCCCCTCCTGACAAATCAGGGTCTCCAGTTAAAAAGACCAGCAAGACATCAAGCCCTGGAGGGAAGAAACCACCTCCAACACCTCAGCGAAATTCCAGCATCAAGTCCACCAGCTCCACTGAGTACCATGAGTCCAAGAGAACTTCAGTGGATCGCCTTGTCAGCAAATTTGCACACCCACCAGAGCCGTCAGGGTCTCCTTCCAAGGAGTCATCACCTCCTGCAGCCCCTCCAAAACCAGGAAAGCTCAACCTTTCTGGCATGAGCTTGCCTATTGTCCTTCCACAAGGAGGGATCCCAGTCAAGGCTTCTGCTCCAAGTGCATCTGGGAAGGAACCTGTAGTTGAATTCCCTTCACCACCATCCGATTCAGACTTTCCACCGCCACCCCCTGAAATAGATCTTCCTCTCCCACCAGTTGAGATCCCATCTGTGTTTTCAGATAGCACTTCCCCAAAAGTTGCTGTTGTCAGTCCTCAGCCTCAGGCATGGTCAAAACCATCCGTGAAAAAAGCCCCACCACCCACACGTCCGAAGCGGAACGACAGCACTCGACTGACACAGGCGGAGGTTGCAGAGCCACCGGGATCAGCTGCCTCTCAAGTGCCCACTTCACCAAAGTCCAGCCTTAGTGTTCAGCCAGGATTCCTGGCAGACCTCAACCGGACACTGCAGCGGAAATCCATTACGCGGCATGGTTCCCTCTCCTCCGCACGGATGTCCAGAACAGAGCCCACAGCCACCATGGACGACATGGCCCTGCCTCCGCCTCCACCGGAGCTCCTGGCTGACCAGCAGAAAACGAGCAGCTTTGGGGGCAGTCACATATCTGGCTATGCAACGCTGCGGAGGGGGCCGCCCCCGGCGCCTCCCAAAAGGGATCAGAACACCAAGCTGTCACGGGACTGGTAGTCAGTGCCTGGGTGCTCTCCGTGACTCGTGGGCCGCTGTGTGATCACCCACCCTGTGATCTTTGAGAGAATGTGGGGACATGGATGATAGTTCCATCAAAAGAAGTGATCTCAAGGTGTAGCTAAGGCTAAACAAAGAGGCGTTCCCCTTTCATGGCTAAGCCAAAAAAGTTGCAGGCTTGAGGGGTGTTGATATTTTCTTCAGAAAGGTGGGTAGAGAGGCATTGAGTTATCCTTTCCATTTATTTTGCCCGTCATATAGATTGGACCAAAAACCCATTTTCTTACTTTTTACACTTTTTTGGGAGGGAGACAATTTTTTGTAGCATCTGTCCATGTGAGACATGTTTGTGCATGTATTGTAAGTGCAGGTAAATAATATATTGTGATATATTTCGTCGCAATTATAGAAGGTAACCAGAATGTTTTTGTAGAGCCGTATTTATTGTTTCAGTCACTATATATTATCTGGAATCAGACTCTGTAACTAGTCAAATCTTACCACAAAAATGAAGACCCAAGAGGCACTTTAAAGAAAGGAAGAAAAACAAAACCCACAAACCTCTTTTGTGGTGGGTAAATGGTGCAGAGCTGAGGCGTTCTGCTAATTACTGTACATTGTCCACTGATTGAAAAGTACAGATGCAACATACCAAAACATTCTGGTCATAATACTACTGAAAATGAGTATGTTCTGAGGAAGAAAATAGATTTTATATATAGTGGGCTGGAGTGAAATATATTTATAGTATCAAGAACCTCCCCCTCCCTTCCAAACAGTTGAAAAATACAGCAACAAATTATTTCAAAGTTATTTGTCCATGTAGTAAGTAGGAGATATACTGTTCCAATCCATTATGCATTCTGACTTTAAATAGTAGGCTTGTTCATTTGTTCCTGTGGCTCAAGATGAATATATTTGTGTTAACCCCTTCTGAAAGCTGCCAGGACTCCTGCAGTTGATGCCAACCCACAAGGCTGACCCACACTGATACTTCACATGTATGTGTAATTCTTTCCCTGAGCCAACAGGTAGGTTTCTGTGGAGAGCATTATGTTCTCGCACAAGCATACAGTGTACAGTCTCACCTTGTCTGTGCCTGATAAAAGATGTGTTATCTTTACAAAACAAGCGTCTCAAAATATTTAAAGAAAGTATTGTTTGTAATTTATTAGAAACTGTCAGGAAACTTTCTATAAGACAGAAGGGAGTGGTAATTTCAGGCCAAGCACAGGGGGATGTCTCTCTTTTCTTTGACCCACCAGAGGCTGTGACCAATGCATAAACAAATCACAAAGTTGCACTTCTGGAAATCAAGGGAGAAGAAGGGGAAAAAAAAATGTTGAGAGGCAGTAACATTTGCTAATTCATTTAAAGGCCCATTTGAGTAGGAAATAGTCATATTTGCTTTGGGTTTTTTTATTTGCCACAGTCAATCACTAGATCAAGTACTAGAGTCCTTTTTCTTGTACTTCAGTAGCTTGGTTGTACAGTCTTGCTCACATATTCAGACATTGTGATAAGGTAGTGGAGTCAGCTTAAGTGGTCTTACAGATCAGGCATGTTCGAGACTGGGTAGTGGGACACAACCTTTGTAAAAAGTAACAAATAATTGGGCTGTACCTACCTTATCTTTGGTTGTTACAACTTCCCTCATCACAATGGGGATACTGTCAAGGCTCAGATGGCAAATATTTTACTGCTTGTTTACCTTTTCTCCTAAAGAAAATTTTAACTGCTTTCCTTTTTCCAAATAATCAGACAAAGCAAGTGACTTGACCTGACAGTATCCTCAGATGTAATCCTCCTTTAGCGTGTAAAAAAGATGTTAACTAATCTTTCAATAGAGTAATTCAGGCTGATAGTTTTAAGAAATGTTGTGACAGTGTCCCTTATTCCTTTTTTTTTTTTTTTTATAAAGTGCTTTTTTAAAAAAAATCCAAATAATAAAATAGATGTTTTTGTGAATAATTTATGATAGGAAAAAACTTTGCTAATTAGAGGTGGAAAATGACACATCTATATAGTTTTAAATAAGTGCATCATGAAAAAAGAAACTTTAATGGTGCTGTCTCTGCTGACCTGTTTTGTATGATTTTTTAAAAAATCTGTTTCAGCACCTCTGGAAATTGTTTTAATAATCAGATTAGTTTTTTTGAGCAATAAGAGTATATACCATTGTGTGCATTTTTAAAGCACTGCTATGGAAAGGCACTTTTTTGTATCTTCCAAATTGTTCACAAAGTTTTGTTTCTACTATTTTTGTGCTTACAAAGTGTCCTTAAAAGCATTTGCATTGTTGATTTTAAGCATGCTCAGTGTAGCTGGCAAATAACTTCACAGGAAGGTTGTTAAGCTACACTGCAATTCATGGGTGCTGTAATTTTCAACATTGGTCCTCCTGCTGCTCTGTACTGTTTGCAGCTCCTGGGCTCGTACCCACCAGTGGAACAAAAAAGGTCACAGATAGAGCCGTAACTCTCCAGCTGTTACTGAGAATAGGTATGTGGGCACATTCTCCTACTCACTGGCAAGATGCATCTGGGCTAATGCAGCGTATGCTCCCAGATGAGAGCAGCCAGGGAATTCTGCTTGCCCCATCTGTTTTTCTTTTCCCCCATGACAGCTCCACTGGTGTGTGTCAGTTCCAGTACTTCTTTTGTTCATTCAGTGCGGGTATCTCTGGGCTTTGCAGTGATGTTTTGAGTGTAGCTTCTTGAGAGGCATTTGAGTGTTCTCATTTTTTTCCTGTGCCTAAGTTCATTTACCCAGTGTCTCTCCCTAAACAATTCATGGATTCATGCTTACTGCTGCAGGTTGTTACATAGCTTGCTGGGAGACACAAATGTAGTTCTTAAGTTTGCAGCAAAAAGAATAAGCGTCAGCAAAGGTGGCACCTGTATTCCTTCTTACAACCTACTCTTAAGCCAGCAGGGATACAGAAATACAGTCAGTGCCTGCAGCTTGCTTTCTTTCAGCTGAGCACTGAAATTTGGCTACAGTGTGTTTCAGACAACCTGGTTGCCTTTTCAGTTTATGAGACCCCTCACTGTAACTTACTTTTCCAGTGCATTTACTGTTTTTGTGACAGCAAATATTTATGCCTTATTTGCAAGTAAGTTATTTTCCCCTGTGTGCACTGGTCTCATAATTGCGCCATTATGTTGATTTAAATCAGAAAACAAAGAGGCCAGATCTTGGATAAACAGCAAGAAGCTTCCTCCTGTAATCCTTTTGGCTCTACTGAAAAGAACATGTGAGAGTTGAGCTTTCATGCTCTGGACAATTTCATCCTAAAATATTGAGAGTACAGCTGTAGTTGTGGTACATGAGGAAGCATATGGCATTGATGCTTGTTAAGGCTGGGGGATAGCTTGGCTGCTGTGGGGGCAGCTGAGAGCACAGAGCTGCATTTGTTAATCTGTTCCAGATCTGGTCTTAGTTTGCTCTCTGCCATACAGCAGTGACATCCACCTCTGAGCAGAGGGTCCCTCCTGTGCCTATGGCATAGGTCTAAAAAGCAGGGAGCTGAGACATCTCAGACACTCTTTAAAATTCAGGTTTTGGTAACTTGCTGTAGAAGGGAAAACTAGACTGTTATATTAGCACTAATCTTAGAGGAGAATTTATTTTACAAAAACATGTTTGAGGTGGATGTGCTGGTGGGTTGTTTAGTCTTTCAAAACATGTGGTTGGGGGAGGAGGTTAGGCACAAGTCTCTCAAAAAAATAATACTGTTATTTTCTATGGAAAACTCCTGCTTCACTTTGTGTAGTGACTTCTTCCTGCAGCAAACTGCCACTGCTTGCTCTGACTTGGTGCACGATCTCAAAGCCGAAGAGTTCCTCTCCTGAACTTACTTTGCAGTTTCCTGCAGGGCAACAGAGACTGACACAACAGGGAGACAAAGTGAAGGTACCTTGATCACTTTGATTTCAGGTCTGATGGGAGAGGCAGCAGTTTTTTCAGCAACTAGATTTTATAATTTTACTGTTCTGAATTTGCACATCTAAAGGTTTTTGTATTTCTTATTTCTGTGCTCTTAGGCAACCAGGTAATTCAAATCAGCTCAGAGATAAAGTGTGGCCAGTTTTGCGCTGAGTTAAAATTATTTTTTCCACAGTTAAAGGAACCAAAACTCCCATTTCAGCAGAAGGGCAAAAGAGAAATGTTCTACTTATTACAGAAAACTGCATAGAGCTAAATTGTTTTACTTCACTCATACCATTACAGGTAAATTTCTTATGCAAAAATAAGATTTGAAGTGTATCTTAATGCATTACATAAAATAGTCATTAATAGTCATGGTAAAATCTGTTGCGCTCCAGGAAAATATAAATTCCTGACAGAAGGCAGTGAGGATGGAGCTAGTGTGTGTGAGTTTGTTGGTCAGTTGTTGTCTTTTTCCTTTTTTTCATTGTTCAGATGTAGATTGTGTACTTGATCAAAGAGTGCTCCTTATGTGGAGGTGAGGGGAGTCTTACTACTTTGGGGGAGGAGGTGTTTTCCCAAAGCCCATTTGCGGCTCCTGATGTTTAGCTTCGTAGTCCTTCACACAACTTGGGCAGATTCCAAACCTAAGAGGATTTAACACTACAGGAGATTGTTTCTCTTAGACTTTCTTGTAATGTAGTGGTGGGTTTTAACCTTTTATTTTTTAAGTTTGTCTGAAATAGAGTGATCCAGTGAGTCACAGGTTTTGTCTAGTTTTGAAAAGTTTAAGACACTAAACTACAAATGAGGTGACAAAACATGCTCATCCGTCACTACGTAAATTAACAGAATTGCCACTAACATGGGAAAAATAGTAATTTTGCATTGATGGCTATTTGGGGCTCTGAGGCACTCAACAGGGCAAGGACTCGGTGAACTCTGTTTATCAGAAGTGTGTCTCCTCGGTGAGGCGAGCTAGAGAATTTGGAAGGACAGGAACTAGTGCTACATGCACGGTCCCCCACGGCAGGGATCTAGCAAAGGAAATGAGTGAGAAGTTCCTTAAG